TTTTTTTTTAAGTGATGGCTTGCATTTGACGCCCGAAGGAAATGCAGTTGTTTTTCGAGAGGTACGGAAAATATTTGATGAAGCCGGGTTTTCGAGTCTTCCCTATGATTTCCCTCCACATTTGGAAATCGACGGAGAAAATCCTGAAAATACATTTTTGCAACAGTGTTCTTCTGTGTGATGTAACTTGGCTGAATATTGAATACGGGACTGTAGTATTTCCCTATATTATATATATAATTGTTGGATTTATGATAATTGCTTTGTTTTCTTGCTTTTTCTTGATACATTTTGCATTAATCAAGTAGTTATATTTTTTTATTTATTTTATTACATAGTACCTACTATTAACTAACCATAGTCACATTAAATGATATTCTATTACATTTTTTTTCTAAAAATAATTTTTTTATTTTTTATTTTTATTTTTTTTTGGTAGATCATTAAACAAGTTTTTTTAATTAAAATAGTTAAGTATTTTTATGGTGTAATCAAACCACTTAAAATTCCTTCACCATCGCTTTAATAATAATTTAATTCTTATTGTTTAATTAATTGGTAATAATAAGTGAAGATTGCAAAAATTTATACTATTGCAATCAATACAAATATTAATATTTGCATGGTTTATATTTACATCTATATTGTTCATTTTTACGAACTGTAAAATTTATAAAATGTGATATACTCGTTATTTAACTTATGATTTTAAATATTACAGATACACACATGTTATACATAATTTTATTTGCATATGTGCATGTGCATGTGCATGTGATCGAATAGAATGATATTAATATAATTATTTTTTTTTTTTTTTGGCAATAAATTGCGGCATTAATCACTTCCTTAAAGAGCACCGAGTAATTATGAAATTACTGAATTTTAATGTAGACGAATGTGAGGACAAGGAACATTTTAGTTACAAATGTGACCTCATATGTGCTATTTGAATTTATATACAACTCAGCTCATATTTGAGCTAGATTAATTAAAATATAAAAGAATATTAATACAAAGTTATCTAGTTATTCAATTTTTGTTCACACTAAAATAAAGTTGGTTCACTAATATGCCAATTATAAAATTTAAATCTCAATTGAAATAGTTTTCAAATGTATTATAAATGAAAGAAAATAATAACAATAATTTTCCTAAAGTATTTTTTTTTTCTAATAATATTAGATAAATATACTTGAAATACGTGTACATATATCATCTATTTCGATTATTAAACGCGAATTAAGGAAATTATGAAAATTGTACCACTTTTTCCTCTCTTAGTCAAATGTCAATATTGCTAAATAAATGTCTTACTTTTAAAGCGAAGATAAATTGCCAAAATTTTTTATTGTGTTGACTACATAATGAAGTAATTAAAAACAATTAAATAGTAGTTTATATTATAGAATAACATACTTATAATTATATTATAGAACAACATACTTTTGTTTATATTTTTTTCAACAAACCAAAATGTATAATTATATTATAGAATATTTGAAAAGGGATAGTAGTTAAATTAATAATTGAAGCTAAACTTAAATCCTAAAAAAATATTGTACCAAAATATAAAATTGGTCAATACAATAACTGAAAAAAAATATTTTCAAATTTGGTAAATACATTCTATTTTTCCTTAGATTATATTGAATACACACATTTAATGCCTATTCTCATCTCAATAAATATAAATGTAACAGAAATGGTAAAGAGTTCCAGACAAAGATTTGTTTTTTATGCTTTCCATCTTCTTCTTTGTCATGCTCCCATGGAGCCTGAAACAAATTTCGATCAAATTTACCAAAATGCCCTTCCACCGGCCTTGAAGCTCGAAAAACTTGATGATTTTTCGATGGACAAAAACACTTATCTCCAAGATTTTCACCACCTTGATCATCAGTTCCATTTACCATATTATTCTTCGTCGAGTTTGAATCCGAGTGTCGATGTACAATCCAACAGCTCGGATCCTTTCTACCCCTCGTTCGTCGACTCATGTTCGGTTTACGAGTTTTTGGATAATTCTTCGGCCGCCATGCAAAGTTTTCAAGAATGCGACGTGCATTCGAATAATAATCCGAATCCGAAAGATTTATCGACCAAAATCGAGACCTTAAGGATGGTTTTTCCGCACGAAGATAGCTCATGCGTGACAGCCGATAATAATAATAATATCACCGGCTTTCGCGAAGGGAATGACGAAAAGAACAGTAAAAATCCAAAAAATACGAAAAGCAGTAGCAAAATATATCAATCGGTCTCGACTAAAAGGCTCGGTTTCATCAAGAACAAGTCGAAGCCGAGCAAGGGGCAGTGGACAGTTGAAGAGGATAGGTGAGAACCATTTTTACTTTCAAGAAAATGCATTGCTTTCCATTTTTTGTTGTTCCATCGGTTTATTTTAACTTTTTCTTTTTGGAAGGATTTTGATCCATTTGGTGGAGAAATATGGAGTTCGAAAATGGTCGCGTATAGCGCAAATGCTCGAGGGGAGGATAGGGAAGCAATGCAGAGAGAGATGGCATAATCATCTAAGGCCTGATATCAAAGTTAGATTTCTAATGAGTTTCCTAATTCTTACATTAACTCTGTTTTTGTTTTAATTTTGTGTGTAAATCATCTGATAGTTTAACACGATTGTATCAAATGAATCGCGTCGTTTTTTTTTTTTTTTTCGACATTCAGAAGGATCTATGGACAGAGGACGAAGATCGAGTTCTTATAGAAGCTCACGCAGAAGTTGGCAACAAATGGGCAGAAATCGCGAAAAGGCTTCCCGGAAGAACCGAAAACTCGATCAAAAATCACTGGAATGCCACCAAAAGACGACAACTCTCACGACGAAAATGCAGGACTAAATGGCCGAAACCGAGCTCTCTCCTCCAAAACTATATCAAGAGCCTACATTTAGGAAAAGAGGACATAAAAAAATCATCGTTTAGAAATGAGGCTAATAACGCTTCGTCTGCAGAAGCTGCTCATCCGGACGATATTTTCAAGAATTCTCAAAAGGAAGGAGTGGCCTTAATTAGCTCCGAACAAGTTTATGATCGTATGGTGTCGGGTTTCGAATTTGACGAGGTCCCGGATCTTGGTTTTCACAGTTATGATGATGAAAAGTTCGACTCGGTCGTGGATTTGGCACTCGAAGCGCCTCCATTGATGCATTATGAAGGGGAGGAGGTAGATTTTTTCGATGGGGTGGAGGATATGGATGCATGGTAGTATTTCTATTTTGTTTTTTTGTTTTTTTTTTGAAGAGTGTTTTATACAATTTGGGGTAAAATGGTTTAGCATGTTCTTAAGTAATAAAGGTTCATTCTTATGGGTCAAACAAAACCTTGTTTAATTTACAACATGCTCTTTGTTAGTCTTTTAGAGTTTGAATATGCAGGACGGACTTCACATACTCGACGACTCTCCCACGGGGTGAAACCGTGACTTGAACATGATGTTCTAGGGATCACCCACTCTCGTAATATCGTAGTCTAAGGCACTCGCCTCCTTTGTACCAAAAAAAAAGAGAATATTTCAGTTTGAAAGTACACGTAGTGCAATAAGACTTCCAAATTTACTGATTGTTGTTTAAGTAACACGTGTATGAAATAAGAATATACTTAGAAATAGTACATGTACTAGTACAACGCCTGTGTATTACACGGATGCTTGCTATTTTTTTTTTTAATTTAAAATTAATGAGAAAAAATAGTTGAAAATATAAATACTTTTATGTATATACATATTATATTTTAGTATGACACTTGTTACTTGTGCAACTTACATGTGTTATGTTATAATAATTTTTCTAACTTATAACATATAACTACATTAAACATGAATATATTGATTGAGAAATAATTTTATTTTTTAATTAATTTTAATAAATACTTTTTTCTTATTGTAAAAATAAATATAATTTATTAATTTTATATATACAATATGAATGTCAAATAGAAGCTCATAAAAAAATGATTAATTTGATACATTATATATGTAAAATCGATAAGAAATACAAAAGTTATCAATTTTAAAAATACATTTACAATTCAATAGTTATAATAGAAAATTATATTAAAATACAATTAATACATCTAAAATGATCATAAATAAATCAACAAACATATTTATTATTTTGCCTTAATTTTTGTATGGCATTCGTTGATCTATTGTTGCATCTCTTAGCCGTTGACGAAGACTTCTAATAAGATTCAAAAATTGACCTCCTAAGCTTAAACAGTTAAAAATAGCTAATATTATTTTGAAAAGGTGTATTTGTTTGGTATATCGACCGATATTTTAAAAGAAAAAAAAAAAAACTGAGAATTTTTTAGATTTTCAATTTTTAATTAACAGATATCTGCGTAAATCTTATGTTTGAAGGTGGAAGATGGTGTGAGATTTCACAAACATATTTTATTTTGTAAATATCTGTAAATATTAAAAAGTCTAGACAAATTCAAGTGATAAATAAATTAAATACCTCGTGACATTTTAAGATTTTTCGAAATCTCAAATAAATATATCAATACTTTTAAATGTTTTGAAAAGTCAAACCCAGAGTTTTTAAAATTACAAAAATTCTTTTCAATTTCAGATGAGTACAATACACCCCCAAATTTAAGGATATTTAGTTCGTTAGCCATTGTGCGACAAGCTCATTAGGAAGCTCGTGCATAGTCGCACATGGAAAGTTGTACTCGTACTTCAGGTACGAGTACAACTTTCAAAAATCCAATTCGGACCTTAAATGAATTTCAATGGATTGTGCTCGAACAAAATCCGAATCGAAAATGTGCATCAGGAAGGAAGAAATCAATGTACAAAATAATGGCTAGCTTATATCAAAGTATAGTAAGGATTAAGAGGAGAGAAGAGTTTAGAGTAAGTTTTTGAAAAGGAAGAGGATGAAATTGCAATTACTTGAAAATGTCAATTCTCTAAAATGACTCATTCATCCTCTTTTGAACAGTCATTGTCTAAAGAATGAAACAAGAAGAAGAAGAAGAACTCTGTTTTGACTTGCTCAAAGTTTACTCATTTTTCTTTCATTCATACTTAAAGGGCCCCAATATGAAATTGCATTGAAGTTTCACCGTTCACGGTCTTCCATTGTAGTAATGGTGTCCGTAGCACAACACTGTAAATAATTAAAAAAAAAAAAATTCAGTAAGATTTTATTTCAGTTTAGCCGATATAGTCCGGGCAGTCCGGAAGATTCGGAAAAAAAAAAAAGAGACAACCCGACTCAAGTTTGAGCAAGTTCATGGCTGCAAACGACGACATGTGTTACTTGTGCCCGTACGAGTGCTTGGTAAAATACACATCTTTAAAAGATGATAAAATCGTGCAAGACACACTCGATTCACCTATGCCATGGGTCGGTGCCTACATTGCAGCAGCTTCAGCTGCATGTTCTTTAGCTATAGCAGCAGATTTTCTCTATGGTTTACGTACCAAAAAATCATGGTTCCCGTGTAAGTACTTCTCTCTCAATGCTTTTACCTTGACTGTTTTGGGTGTGGCAATGAAGATTCCACTTGACATGACTACTACAATGCCTGGGAACTACGACAGACTCGCTCGTGTCAGCAGTTTGGTCCTGATGCCGGCCGCCATGTCCAATTTCATGACCTCTTTCGGAACCATGGAGAATAACGAGATCGTTCTAAATTTGGCTGCCCTCGGCATCCTGGTGGTCACTGTCATGGGGAATGTCTTCATCCGATTCATCCCAACTCAAAATTTTTGGAGTATGAAAGAAACTTGGGGAGAAGAAATCGGGTGCACAATTTGCATGCTCTTTTTACTTGTGGTATTATCCTCGTCTGCTGTGATGGTTCCGGCAGCCAAAAGATACATCGAGTGTCAGTACAATCAGAGGCACAAAACGATATTTTCAAACCACATTATGAGGAGTTATACGACGGGTCAACTGAGACTCGCGTTGACGAGGTGTTGGGTGATGTCCGAAAGTGGGAGCCCTCAGTTTTTGGTTGCGCGTTCAGTAACGAGCGTTAGTGCTGGACTGATATGTTTATTGATGGGTCTAACTCTATTACAAGCTCATATCAGGTACCCTCTAATGTACACCGAGCGCCACAAATTGGGTTCTAAATATAAGTGGTCCATTGATTGGATTCTGTTTATTCAAACCGTTGGAGTGGTGTTGGGTATTATTGCCCCTTTACTGAGATGGTTCGATGCCGTTCGACACAAGAAGATGGCAAAGATTGTGTTCAGAGATGAACTCGAAGTCGAGGGCTATTGGACTCATACGCTGACGCAGTACAGAGATAGCCCGTTGCCCTTGAAAACCAGGTTTCACCTCAAGTTCAGAAAAGCTCTTCATAATGCGAAAAGATTGCTTTTGAATCTCTGTATCAGAATTCAGATCCTTGTTGTTCTCGGCAGTAAACTGCTTCTACTCGTGTCCGCTGTCTTTATGCACGGCGTGATCTTTTGCTTCAGCCACTGTCCCCAAGGATCATCAAGTGAAGAAGAACTTAATGATTTAAATGATTATGTACTACAGCTCGAAGGTGAAGCAAGGCTGCACGAAACAACACTGAGAAGCATATGCAGCAAGGTGCATAAGCTGATCCAAACAGGCAAAGGAAAGCAATATAAGAACTTAATCGAGCTGCTTGAGAAATCTGTCAGCTTCAATGGCGTGAGAGAATTCGACAGTCGTCAAAGAGTTCAAAGCTTGAATCCTCAAGAGCCACACAATTGTTGGTCTCTCGCTGTCGTGACCCTGACAAGCATTGCTATTTCACTTCCAACCATACCAACTGACGAGTCCGGTTCTTTACTAAGTGCTGTGACCGAAGGTCTTTACTTCGCGAATCTCATTGAGGAAGCTCTCGACTCGAAAAGAGCACTAACAAGCGTTAGACATGCAGCTGACGTGGCATGGGTTGGAGTTGAACTGTACCGGAAATGGCACGATGTAGATCTTCAGAAAGCAGCAGGAGGAGGCTCGACCCACAAAGAGACGTTGCAAAAACTCTCTGGAGTCGCTCAAAAGATGGTCACGAATTTCACTGCCAACCCGAATAATAATTTTCTAGTGCAGGACCCTCTCAACTGGCCAGTCAAGGTCATAGCTGCCAACTCAATGTACCGGGTAACTCAAACAATCTTGTCCTATCATAATGAAGATAATGAGGAGCTGTTGTTCGAGAGATTGTCTGTCATGATTTCAGACATTCTTTCAGCTTGTCTCGCTGCAAATCTGGCTTGTGTCATAAGATTGAAGTGCTACACCAATGAAATCAGAAAAAGGGAGGAAAGCATCCGCCAGGCAGCTCTGCTTTTAGGCGAAAGTGAAGAGATTCTCCAGATTCTCCAGAAGCGCGAGCTTCCAAGATTGGATCCCGAAAAAGCGGCTGACATTGAAGAGTGGAGGAGTTTTATGGAGCAAGATAATGAAAATCCAGTGGAATCTGTCGCTAAAAAATTCTCGCAAACGAGTGGAGAGCATGTGTCAATCGAGCTGCAAGGCTAGCCAACTGCAAGAAGATGCCCGATTAAAAAAAAAAAAGAAAAAAAAAAGAAAAAA